CAATAGTAACTAGAAAACGCCATGTGGAAGAAATCAAGTCGATCTGATCAAAAACAACGGCGTTAGAATTTTGTATTTCAATCTCTTGTATTGGAGCTATCCTATATAGTCGCCCGATCCAGCCCGTTCCGACTTATATACTGCGTGCAATAACTACACACCTTTTGGGAAAGTTTCAGCAAGATAGCTTTAAAACTGAGAGACTAGTTTGGGCAGAAACGGACAGGAGGACAGACGCACAGTGGGCGATTTGGTCTCGCCAGCGGCATTTAATTCAAATTTCAACTTTCAAAAAGCGATGATTTTTTTTCACAATTCGATAATAGATACTTTGATTAGATTTATCCAAGCATTTTAAAAGCTCTACGATGAGCTGATCATCAGCTGTGAACGGACAAACACAGAAAATGATTTTGCAAAGAACTTTACAAAATTTTACCTGTTTGCGCGCATAAAATTCAAGTTCCTCGGAAATTTACAATTTTTAGTGAATTTATTAAAAGTTTGGTTTTTTATTAATTTCAAGGTATGCATTACAAAAAAATTAATGTTTGTGACCGGTCTATAAATGTGTAGCTCATAAAACGTAGTTGCAATTCAGTGTATTAACAACGAGCCCGGATTAGCGTACACCTGTCTTTCGTGGAGAAGAACTTACCTGATTCAAGTGGATTCAGTCTAACTCTTTTATTAGCCGAAAGTGTGAATCAGTGGCGTCCAATGTGTGTAATATGAACTGCTAGTACCTGCTAGCCTTCAATCTATGGTACTTTTAAGGCACAATGTCAGTAGCAAAAAAGGGTTCTTTTTTAGTATATTTTAGTATTTTTACTATGCCGCCGTCTGATTCCGATGATTCTGAATAAAATTCTAGCCATTTTTAAATTATGTTTGTTTATGGAATATATTAATTGAAGTTTAAAAAACATAAAAATAAAACAAAATTTAAAATTAAAAAATATTTTTTTTAAATTTAAAAAAAAAAATAAAAAAGTATAAAAAAACTACTTTTTTTACTTAAAAAATTGTATGATTTTTCTTTGATCGGTGAAAAAAAACCGACTGAAGATATCTATTTTAGTTTAGAAGTTATTAATTAAATGCCGCTAGCGAGACCAAATCGCCCACTGTGAGACGGACAGACAGACAGACGGACAGACGTACAGACGTATTTCGATTCAGATGGTGATGCTGATCAAGAATATATATACTTTATGGGGTCTAAGGTGTCTCCTTCACTGCGTTGCAAACTTCTGGCCAAAATTATAATACCCTTTGCTCTGCAAGGGTATAATGAAGGAAGAAGAGCGAATTTCAATACGGAAGACTTGTCGGCAGCTATATGTCTCCATTCCGCCGGACCTACAGCTTATCACCATTTGTTCAAGAAAGGCTTTCCTTATCCGAGTCGGGGCACATTATGTAGATGGTTGACCGAAGTAAAAATCAATCCCGGCACTCTAGATGTGGTGATCGACCTAATGGATGACGAGCAGATGCCCGAAGTGGACAAGCTTTGCGTCTTGGCTTTTGACGAAATGAAGGTTGCTGCTGCTTTTGAGTTCGATAGCTCTTGAGAAACTATGTGTAACTAGCCATAGTCCGTGGCTTAAAAAAGTAGTGGAAGTAGCCAGTCTTCTTCGATTTTAACGCTCGGATGGACACAGATACTCTGTATAAAATTATAAGTAATTTGCACCAAAAAGGCTACCCAGTAGTTCCAATTGTGTCTGATTTGGGACCTGGAATCCAAAGGCTATGGAGTGAGCTAGGCATTTCAGAGAGTAAGTTAAAAAAAGAAAAATAATACAAGTCGTCAAATATTAGGGTAAGATGGGGTAAAACCGCCGGTGGGTAAAACCGCCATTTGGATTTCAAATTCAAATGAAGCGCCGAAACGATTAACCGTTGATAATGTAGATTCTGATTGATAATGCGCGGTTTTTGAAGTCGGTCGGAATACTGCAGCTTTATCGTGACAATTTCTATAGCGCCATTTTTGTTTCACTCGACGGCGCCAAAAAATTTTTGTTATAAAGATTGCTCAATCAAGTGTAAGTGAACGGCTTAAAAAAAAAAGGTAAGTGTCCGCTTATAGTACGAACCTTGATACTGATGTACATGTATCAAGTTAGCCAATATTTCCAAAATTGTACAAACTAAGTGACCTCGAAAAAAATTGGCGCGTGGGGTAAAAACGCCGCGAAAAGGTGGGGTAAAAACGCCACACAATTTGATAACGGAAAAACTCGTTTTAATCGAGAATGAATGTCTTTCAGCATCATGCCTCGCAATTACGCAAGAAAAAAATCAAAAATTGATGAAAATATATTTCAACGGGCAATCGAGGAAGTTCAGGAGGGCAGCAAGGTGGCAGTTGCTGCCGAAAAATATGGGATTCCCCGAGAGACTTTGCGAGACCGAGTCAACAAAGCGCACAACGCTTATTATGGCCATCATCCCCAGGTAAAGTGTCAAATATTCACAATTTTTGTTAATTGAAACAATATGTAATGTCATGATTTTGAATTCAATTCAATTTAAAAATAACAGCCTTTCTTTTTGAACAGATAATTGCAAACAGTTTTGTATAAAATGATTTTATCTTTTAAATAAGAATATTTTAATTTTCAGTTTCAAACCTTTGTTAATGCGACATTTATTCTTAGTTTAAAACTATTTTAACCACGTAATTCTTATTTTACAGATTTTTACTGACGACCAAGAGGCATCGCTTGAGAAATATCTCATGAAAGCATCAGCTATGTTTCATGGTTTCTCTCGGACAGCAGTTCGACGACTTGCTTATGACTTCGCTTCAATTTCTTATTTTTACTTTTATATAATATATTCGTTGTGACATGTAATATCCATTTGAATTGAATAAAAATTTTTCTCAGAAGTTATTGACATTATTTGGGTACTTAACTACACTAAAACCAGAATGGCGTTTTTACCCCACTAGGTGGGGTAAAACCGCCGTTTTAAACTTTTCTTCTGAACGATCACAATTCTTTTAAAATAAAAGCTACATAAAAACTTTCTAAATGAATTATGTAGCCAAGGGATTAAACTTTCAGAAATATGATTTGGATCATTGATCATTTTATAAATGAAAGCTTGACATCGTCAAATATACATTTTTGGCGGTTTTACCCCATCTTACCCTAATAATTTTTTTTTCAGCAAAAACCTGGTTAAGTCATCCAGCAGATGAAAATTTCAAAATGTTTTCGGATACCCCTCATTTGGTAAAGTTGATTAGAAATCACCACATCGACTTCGGTTTGTTTGTTAACAGAAAAAATTGACAAAGACGACAGTCCAACAGGCTATTAACCACTGCGCTAGGTCTGATATATCTATATTATTTAAGATTACTCAAGATCATATTAATGTTAGCTCACTTGCTAAGCAGAAGGCTAAGTTGGCGACCCAATACAATACGTTTTCCAATACAACCGCAAGCTCCATCCGACAATGCTATTCGTTGGGATATGATGTAGACAGCGCGTGCGAGACCGCCGATCTTTTCAAACTTATGAATGATTTGTTCGACGTTTTCAACTCCAAGTTGTCTACATCAAATTCCATCGAAACAACGCATTTGCTTTGTATGTCGAAATTATGCGAGCACTAATAACGCCGAGACTGAGTCGCCTCTTTATTATTCCTTTACCTCTATATACAGACGTTTATGAAATATGTTTAAGAGCTTTCGCGGGGGTCTTACATAGCGACTTTTAGAAACGTAGAATAGGAATTAAAAACCTAGGTTAAATATGTTACATTTGTGATATTTAATTTAGTTATACAAATATGTATACGAAGTTAGCAAGGATATTATATTATTAAAAAGGTAGCAGTATTAGTATAATTTTATCCTTAAGTTCACTCTTTCCTACGAGCATAATTGTTTTAGCTGGTTTAAAAAAAAACCCGGTTTGGTGGTTTTCGGGGTCGGCAATGCGAGCCCAAATAGCACTGTTGCCTGGAAATCGCAAACAGTTATTTTATTTGTTTTCAACAATTACTATGTTATTTACAAATTTATGTAGCGGCTAAATAAATTATGCAGAGACCGGAAACCATAGTCGGTTTTAAGAATAATACGTCTAGCTTATTAGGAAGCCGGTAGAGTTGGGATAAAATCGATGTCAACATCGATTACATCGATAATTTTTTAGGCCGATGCATCAATCGGTTTTCAGGGAATCGATGTATCGGAAGCATAAAAAAAAAATGCCATCACTGTGAATAAGAAAAGGGGAAAAACTAGCAAATAAGGGTAAGTTAATTAAAATTGTGATTTAAAATGATTAAATATACTTGGTGTTTTGCCGGCTCAAGGTCTGAGGGACATCAAAAACACAATTTATGTTTTTTAAAAACCAATATATTTCGGTTGCTCCTCGGCAACCGTCTTCAGGGCAACTACACAAAAACAAAAAACAATCAACATTAAAATACAGTTTTCTTACAATTTAAATATTAACCTACCAGAACCAGACAAAGAAATAAATTTAAAAAAAATTATTTTATGTTGCTCGACAAAAAAAACAAATCAAATAATAAAAAAATGAATCTCCAAGTATTTTGGTATTTTTAATTTAATTTGATTGTAGTACCAAATTCGTCATCGTTTGAATAAACGCCCGGCCGGTCCGCGCTTTTACCCGAAATCCAAGTGTTTTTCCTTCCCGCGATCGCCGAGTGCTTTTTCTCACCCCCACAGCTTAACACCGCCAGCCATCGCTGCCCACCAAGAGTTTTGCTGCCTTCAGTCGGACGCCCCACCAACCGAAATATATTGGTTTTTCAAAAACATAAATTGTGTTTTTTGATGTCCCCCAGACCTTGAGCCGGCAAAACACCAAGAACTCGATTGGAAAGGTCGCTAACACCCACAAATTATGAATAGATATATTTATTATAATAAATAATAGTTTTTAACAAATCTCTAGGATTGTTGTGTGTTGGTGGATCGGAGAATCGGAGTAATGGACAAGTTTTTAGGAGTCTCAGGTAAATATTCATAAATTCAATTTAAAGCACGTGCATCGCGATGTGAGTACTTGGAGTTTCATTTACTTATTATGTATATATCTTATACATTATTATTCATTATACATTGATGCAATATTATATTGATACATTTTTGATTTTTTTGAAATTGATAAGGAATCGGAGGTCCAGAAAGTTTTCCCGGAACGGAATGAGCCCAAGCGCAAATGTGGAAAGTCCAATGTTTGGAATCATTTCAAACGATTAGAAAGTGGATCAGCCAAATGCGTCATCTGTGGGCATGTTAACAAATCCTGTGGAAACACCACAAATCTGTTCAATCATTTGAAGCGGGCTCATCCGACTGTGCTCAGCGTTCCAAAAGGCGTAGCAAGGATTGCGGACTTTTTCGACACTAATTCAAAGAAAACGTACGAAAATGGCTCATTCCGGAAATCTTCGCTGGACAAGGCTCTTATTTCGATGATCGCTACAGACCTACAGCCTTTCAGGATTGTGGAGGGCGCAGGATTCCGCAATTTTGTCTACTGTCTGGACCCGCAATACACTTTACCCTGCAGGAGGACATTAAATGATGTCTTATTGTCAAACATGTATGAAGATATATTTGACATCAAAAGCGCAGTCTTGTGCACAAGCAAACTGCTAAACGATTTGGATCACATGAGCGAAAACATTGCTAGCTCTCTTCACGAGGTTCTCTCAGAGTGGGGTGTGGCCAGCAACGTATCTGCCATTGTGACAGATAATGCTTCCTCCATGATCAAGTCCTGCTCAATTGTAGGAAAACGTCACATGCCTTGCTTCGCCCATACCTTGAATCTCATCATGCAGGAATCCTTACAGTAGAGCTGCAAAAACATCGATGGTAGCCCCATCGATAGTTTTGATAGTTTGCGGACTAAACCTCGATACTATCGCTCATATATAAACATTAGGGGTATTCATGTAAAACCAACATACTTAAAATAATTTTTGTTTGGGAATACCCCTGTTTTAATTAAAAACGCATTTAGTTTCAATTCAAATGAGATCCTTTTAATTCATATTTGGAAGGAGAAATTAAATCATATTTCTTTGGTTAAAAACCAATTTTTGTTGACAAATAACAGTTTGTGGACGGTTTTTGGCTTCAGGGACGCCCGTCGGTCACAGATTGTTAGGTTCCTTAAAGGAACCACAACAACACCGGAACCACCAGAATCTGAATATTTCTGTCGAAAACTAGAGAAAATTATTATATATTACATTTTTTGTGTGCAAAATATGCGTACCTTCTTATTCGTTCGAAGTCCAAGTGATGGGAATTTTTGTAAAACTATCGTGATAGTCTGAAAAATATCGAAGTCGGTGACCGGCGGCCAACCATCGATATTATCGATGGCCCTATCGATTTTTTTGCAGCTCTACCTTACAGCTGGAAAAGATAAAGCCGTATCGACGCTTTTTTTAAGAGCAGCTCAAATGCGTAGGCGAAATTAAAGTCTGTCCAGGAAAGTCATGCATCTTACGGTCTTACACAAGAAGTCCCGACTAGGTGGAATAGCTGCTACAAAATGGTGAGCAGGATTCTTAAAATAAAAGACTAAATTTTTCGTGTATTATTGGATACAAAAAGGCTCTTTCATCGCTAACAGCAGAAGAAGTTTCAGTTCTATACCACCTTAAGCTATTGTTTGAGCCGTTTGATGCTGCTAACAACAGGGTCTCAAGAAGCAGTTATGTGACAATATCATTAATAATACTGTTATCGGCTGATCTCCACCATCGTCTTAGCAACATGATTCCATCTTTTAAGACATTGGATGGTGTCGAAACGTGCAATTACATATTGCAAGAGATAAACACTCGGCTGTTTCCGTACGAAAGCAGGACTGTGTCCAAAATAGCAACAATATTAGATCCCCGTTTTAAAAAGGAGGGCTTTCGAACCACCGTCTCTGCTGATCTCGCAGTTGAAGCTCTGAAGAACGAAATATCCAACCATCCAACAAATTTGAACCCATACTTCGATTCACAAAACGATGCACCAACACACGAGTCCCAGGGAAAAGCACCTATATTATCATTCATGAAAATCAAATTGGAAAATAAAGTGAGGACACCGAAATCTGATGCTATTATTGTACTCCGACAATATTTGGAGAAGCCGCACGCAACTCCAGATGGAGTATTGGAAGGTTTTTTATAATTTAAAGAAATTGTTATATGTTGATAAACTAATTTTTGCAAGCAAAAACCAATGGCTAACAGAAATTTAAATGCTTTGCTTATTTTGAAAAATTTTATTTTTATTTACTTTTTTTTCTTTTTCCTGTTTTTGTTTTTGTTAGCTTTTTAAGTTCATTGTTCCATAATTTATAAGATTTGAAAAAAATAAATATTTGTTTTTTTTGTTCGATTTAATCGATAGAATCGATGCACCGAGAATCGATTTTATCCCAGCTCTAGAAGCCGGCAAACAATGTGATGTTAACTTTAAAATATCGATAAGAGATAAATGTATTCAAGTTAAGATACTGACTTTGTTTTAGCTATAAGAAAAATACCAGTAACATGGCGAATGGGAATGGAAGAGAAATGTTTACAGAGTGGCCGTACTCGTTGTTTTCATATAAAAGCTGTTAACAGATTTTGTTTACATTGTTTACGAATTTATATGTTAATTTATTCTAATTAATTTTAGTTAATTAGTAATAAAATACTTAAGACTAGATACCTTATTGTGTAGCGTCCAAGAAGTGCCATGGAGTAATGGATTACAGCAGTCCTGGGAAACAAATCTGGAAAGTGGTGATTTTTCCATGTACAGCAAACCAGAGAGGAGGAGCGCTGGCGTCATCGCCAGTGAGTCGTTGTAGCAATGGTGATCAAATTCTAATTTGTTTGTCTACGGGCAGTAGGCGCAGTGGCAGCAGGAGTGTAGGTCATCCTTTTTCAGGTTGGTGTCGGCAATGCGAGCACAATTAGCACTGAATTGCCTAAAATTAGCAATCAGTTATTTTATTTGTTTTCAACAATTACTGTTATTTACAAATTTATATAGCAGCTAAATAAATCATAGCTTATTAAGAAGCCGGCAAACAATGTGAAGCTGACTGTGATAATCGATAAGTAGTAGCAGAAATCTATATAATATACTGAATTTGTTTAGCTATAAAATACCAATAACATGGCAAATAGGAATGTATGAGTGGGAATACTTTTTGTTTACACCCTGCAGTTCCAAAATTGCTTTGTCGTCGATGAAATGTGCGAAGACACACCGACGACGGCAACCGTTGCCGCACCGACGACACTTCATAGAGAAATTTTATATGGCATAGCCGTTTTCGGTATACATGTCGCTCTCGATAAACTTTTTGTCCGTTTCATCGAACAAGTCGTCGGTGGCTTATACGAATTTTGTATGGACGTGGAGGCGAAGTTTTCATCGATGGCTTTTGCGAGGATGCCCTTAGTGAAATCATCTATGTCAAGCCTAAAAATGTCATCCCCAAATTCATATGAAAAACCATATATATATATTTATTTCTTTTTTATTTTATTAATAAATCTTATTCTGTAACATAAGAGATAAGTACATAAATAATATGAAATTAGAAAGTTTTTGTTTACCATTTATGTGGAATATTTGCAGGACATCGGCTGTTTTGCGTCCATCTATGGTACAAAAAATATTTTTATTATTACTTATTACATATAATAAATTCGTTTGAAAGGAAAAGGGATATTCCTAAGTTTCCCTCTCTTTCTCACTCTTATAAAACGATTTTGTTGCTTGCACCCGACGACGGCCCGACTAAAAATTTGTCTTCTATTTTTTCGTTTTTCTTATTGCATTGTTGCCATGGCAATGCATTTACCGTTAGAAACACAAATTTGGGTTTTCGGTGGAAACCACGGCTGAGGCATGCTCGACTTATGTATACTTAAGGGTTTTAAAGTTTTTTAAAATAACTTACTTAAAATGAAAATAATTATATACAATATTACTATACAATATTATATACCAGCTATTGTCTGGGAATAATATTTAACCCTCAACGCACAGACTGGGTGAATTTCACCCAGCGCGATTTTTCGGCGGTTCGGCATTTAAATATGGATGGAGGTTGTGGCTTGTGAGTGGGGGAAACTTATGCGCCACCACTACGCGCACACCGAGTTTCAGCTTCAGTGTCCCAAAATTCGTTGAAGGGGAAATATCGAAAGTTGCTCAGCGGGTGAATTTCACCCAGTGTGTGCGTTGTGTTCCAAATTCCACGTAAGTACAGACATCGTGTTATTTTGAAATTTTAATTGTAGACCCCCTTTTTCGCGTTTTTACATGTGACATATCATTGTTTTAATAGAAAAGGCGCCAATATGCTGACGCGGGCCCTTGTGAAGCCATTTCTGGTTAGGAGATTGTTGTTACCATCGTTGCAAATGCAATTGCGGTTGCAAATTGAACAATTCGTAAACTACCAAGATAGGCCTGAAATGGACGACCCAAAAGACTTTTTACTTGAGAACAAAATGTCTAAACACAAAAGACAAAGAATTTGAGCCCCAAAATGCATTACTCTATACCACACTTTACCCGCAACAACGAAAAAATTGACCCATTTTCAAATGACTAAAAAAATATACTTTTTGGAGAGTACGGTTAAACTGCCATTAAAATCTGAAATTTCGTACCCTGAACTCTCGAAAAAATGATTTTTTTGTAGACTGATCACTTTTTTCATTTTAATAACAATTTTTGAAAAAAAAGTGACTTTTTCATGAACACCAATCAGTTTTTTACGAATTAAAGTATGAAAAATTGAATTTACAACTTCACAGCTTATACCATAATATTCTTGAGAAAATTCTCCATATTAAAAAAAAAAAGTTTTTGAAAATCGGAGAATTACAAGTAAAGTTATTAACGGGCAAAGTCGAATGGGTGAAAAACACCCAGTGTGTGCGTTGTGTTAAAAAACAGAGGTGTGTGCGCTGAGGGTTAAATTAAATTTATTAGTCAAATTATAAATCAATATTAATTAATTTTAAATATTAACTATATTATTTAAAAAACAAGAAAGGAAGCTAACTTCGGCTTGCCGAAGCTTATATACCATATTGCCATATTGTTCATATGGCAGCTATATGATATAGTCGTCTGATATTGATAAAATTTAATTTGTTATTCAAGAGTCGTTAGAAAACTCTATATTGCAAAAATCATGATTTTCTGAAGAGAAATAACGATGTTATCATTTTATTTCCGTTAATTCTATATAGATTTTTCGATCTTTCCTATGGCAGCTATATGATATAGTTGTCCGATTTTTATGAAACTTTTTTTTATAAATCAAGGCTAGTTAAAAAATTTCATACTCAAAAAAATCATAGTCGTGTGATGAAAAACAATGACGTTATTAATTAATTTCCATTAACTCTATATATACATTTTGATCTCTCCTATGGCAGCTATGGCAGAGTTATCCGATTTTGATAAAATTTAAACCGAAATTCAATAGTAGTACACAAAACGCCATCTGGAAGAAATCAAGTCGATCTGATCAAAAACAACGGAGTGAGAATTCCTTTTAATCTCTCGTATGGGAGCTATCCGATATACTTGGCCGATCCGGCTCGTTCCGACTTATATACTGCGTGCAATAACTATACAACTTTTCGGAAAGTTTCAGAACGATGGCTTCAAAACTGAGAGACTAGTTTACATAGAAACAGACAGACGGACAGACGGACCGACGTACAGACGGATTTCGATTCAGATCGTGATGCTGATCAAGAATATATATACTTTATGGGGTCTGAGGTGCCTCCTTCACTGCGTTGCAAAATTCTGACTGAAA